ATAATATCTGTCTCTTATACACATCTAGATGTGTATAAGAGACAGGAGTGATAGGATGTAAAATCAAAAGCAACACGGTTGTGATCTGCCTCAGTAGAAATTTATTTGTATCAAATCTGTAACATATAATTTGTAATTGCTGTTGGATATAAAGATAGACAAAATGCTCAGTTTCTAACATAATTTTGCATTTTCTTGCAGCTGCTCTTTGCTTCCATGAGGGCACTTGGAGAAGCGAAGGTGACACATGGAACCAGGGCCGTTGTGATGTCTGCAACTGTGTCGATGGTGTTGTCACCTGCAACCCAATGACTTGCCCACAAGTGCAAGCCAGTGCAGGTTGCCACGTTGTCCAGCATAATGGATTCTGCTGTCCCGTTAAAGTTTGCAGAGGCTCTGGTGAGTACAGTCATATAATTTGGCTAGATCTGTTGTGGAAACTATAACAAAGTAAAGGTCTCCCTCCAATTAAAGACCACTTTTTTGAGACCTCTGTTTCCATGGTCTTTAGCAGCTTTGGTCTCTAATTGGAATAATAAAGATAAAAGACATTTGTTAATTTGGGACCACAGAAAAGTGGTCTTTAATTGGAGGGAGACCTGTAGTGTCATTCATTGAGTATGCATAAATTAATTGATGATTTTTACGATGATCTTTATAATGGCACATTTTGTAATTGCATATTTTATGTCTTCTGGTGAGCATTGTACATACTTTTTACATATGTTATTTATTATATTATATTTACAAACCAAGTAAATAGAAATTAACTACTTCTTATAAATTATGCTACCTTATGTGAGAATTTTTGTTTTATATTTTATTAGAAACACAGTGTGTCACTCCAGAGCTGACAATTGCCAATGGAGAGAACTACACAATCAGCAATCCACTGCCAGCAGAGTCAGGCCATACATGGTCGTCACCAATGACTGTTACTGAGCGTGCTCACTGTACTTGCAACATGGGACGTCTAACATGCACAAGGAGCGCTTGCCCCGTTGCTCAAGATCCGTGCACAACAGAGCCACAGGCTATTGGTGTCCAAGGTTGCCCAAGCATTACTTGCCCATATGGTAGGTTTATACATGTTTGTTTCTTATCATTATATGTCTGACTTTAGGATTTTATAGTTATTTATTGTGAATAAGGGAAGAAGTGACAAGTACGTGTAGCACTTTTGAATAAAAAAGTAAAAAAAGTGATTTTTATGTATATTTTAGCGAGAAGGTTTAGATAAGTCAATATAAGAAAACAAACCATTGTAACATAGATGTTTTTTTAAAACTAATCTGTGGTCATTGATACACCTGTCTTAAACCAATTCCTATACAATCATAATTATGAATTGATTTAACACTGGTGTAACAATAGTCATGTCCATTTGAAAATTGAAATCGATTGATAATGGAAAATGCAAAAACAATAATAAATGCCAAATAATATAATTATACTTACAATCCATGCAAATTTACATATTTAAATACATTGATGTTGGCCGTATACAAGTCCTTGTTGGTTGTTTGAGTGTTGTTGTGTTTTTATTATTGCAGTCAAACCTGGAGTTTGCCCGATTCCAAGACCTGGATCGGTAGGTACTTGTGACCAGCAATGCACACAGGATTCCGACTGTCAAGGGGCTACAAAGTGCTGCAGCAACGGATGCGGAACGGCATGCACTAATGCATGGAGAGCTGGTAAGCTTATCATTATTGCATCACTCCAATTTTAAAAGTTAACATGAATGTAAAGATAGGAGCACTCAATGTAGGACCAGCATTTCAATTAATTTATCACCTACTCAATTTGTGCCTACAGTGATAGATGGAAATAGGTGTATCATAGATCTGAATCTGATTAACACATAACATGTACCAAATTGAAAATTAGAACATGAAAATATTATCATTCCTATAAATAATACTGTTGCTATATTCGTTGTATAGAACCCTAAATAAGCTGATAGACAAGGATGTTTGTAGTCTACAATCTGTAATGGTAATAGTAATAGTAGGATTTTTTGTAGTCTACAATTCTATAATGGTAATAGTAATACTAGGATTTTTCTAGAGCTCATTCCACAATCAAAGCATCTCAAGGTGCTGACAGTATTTAAACCACACAACATATTGAAAAACAGAAAAAAAGTAAATAAGCAAATTTTAAAAATAAATATCAAATATAATAAAATAAACAAACAAGCTGTTCAATTGAAGTGAGACGGCTGCCACAACTGGCATTAAACAAACCGCAGACTTGAAAGGGAAGGGAAATAAACACTACCAATGTAATTTGGTGTAAAGTGAATTCCTTTTATCTGTGTCTGATTGAAAGTTGGTAACTTATCATAAAATTAAATGTTTTTGGTTAAAAGGTTTAAGATTTTTTAGGCAGTTCTTTATTTGATCTAAGAATATGTAAATGTTTTGTTAGGTTGTGTTGATGAAGTAGGAACAGAAAGAACAAGTGGAGATGTATGGTACCAAGATCTGTGCACCATCTGTAATTGTGTCAACAATCAGTCTATCTGTGAAGAACAACAGTGTGCTGAAGTCCCTCCAGGATGCTCTATCAAACTGGTTGCTGGACAGTGCTGTGGTGAGGTTGTGTGCCAGCCCTCAACCACTGCCCAAGGTAGGTGATCTTTTCTTATTTTAATCAATAATCGAGCTCAACCTGGAATTGAACCTGTGACTTCTTGCATACAAAACAAGCTCTATAACCGCAAGACCAAATAGTCTGCATTTGGTTCAAAAGTTTTCCAATTTTTATTTTGTCTGATGTCAATATCAGAATAGCACTAATGCAAACATGGTCGGAGATCTACAGAAACACCCTCAATAAATCTATATTTAAAGATATGAATTTAAGCTAATGATTTTAATTTGTTATTTAATCACAGTTGCCACCTGTGACTACGAGGGCCAGAACTACATGCCCGGAAATACTTGGATTGTTGATGATTGCACAACTTGTCGCTGTGACAACGGACGCACAGTATGTGATAGACAGACCTGTCCAAAGACCAGCAATTATGGTTGTCGAATGTTGTACATTCCTGGAAAATGCTGTCCCGAGAAGATTTGCAAAGAACGTAAGTTACAAGTGGTTTGACTTCAACTTAAAATGAGTACTATTCCTATTTTTAATATTATTTTTTGTATAAAAGAACTAACAGGTTTTAAATTTCAAATTTGTTTGTGAAATAAAATAGTGTATTTTCTTATTTGATAATATTGATTTATAATTTGAAACTTTTGTCTTCCAGCTAAGAGTTGTCTGTATGACGGTGTCTATTACCTAAATAGTGAAAAGTTCTACGTGTCAGCTTGTGAAGAGTGCGAGTGTCTCAACGGCGTTGTGACATGCAAGAATGAGACATGCCCCACGCCAACTGGATTGTGTACCTACGAAGTACCAGTGGGTGTTAGTGCTGAGTTTAGTTGCTGTATGAACATCACATGCCCCCTGACTGGTAAGTAATATTATAAGCAATTAGTAGAGCTCCGCATAGTACACTGTAGGAAAATTATTATATGAAGGTTAGATTTAATGCAAAATAGTTGTATTATTTTTTCTTTAATCAGGCAGCTTTAAGACTTATTCAGGCAGTTCCACTTAGGACATAAAAACACAAAGCATTACAAAATATGAATTTACCAAAATTATACAATGTTGTAAAATAGGTAAACAATAATTAAGATAATAATAACATTAGTAGTTGTAGTTGTTGCTGTAATAGGGATAATAAGAATAATGAAAATTATAAATAATACTAACAATAATAGTAATATAGTATTATAAGAGAAGTATTCACAACTTTTGTTAATTTTCTAGGCCCTGGTCAGACCTGCCAATACAATGGCAAGGTGTACAACTACAACGAGGTATTCATGCGTGATGCATGTACCAGGTGTAAATGCAACGCTGGTGAAGTGACCTGTACCACGACCTCATGCCCACAGGTCAATCTTGAGGCAGGATGCCGTGCTGTTCCCGTCTTTGGAAAATGCTGCCCACAGATTACATGCCGAGATGGTAAGTACTCAACTGTTATATTTCAGCCTCGTACTAAAGTTGTAATTTGAAGACTTTAGCATTATAAAGCCCTGTCCACACTATCAAATTTCATTTGACAAAAACATGTGACATGCCCTAATATGGTCATGGTGACATCATGTCATGACTATATATGGGCATACAACAGTTTGGACAGAGCTTAAAGTAAAGAAATATTTGATTCTGTATTTTGTAAATCTTCATCCAGTTCACAGCTGTATTGTAGCAGGAGTGGAGCATCTGAATGGAGAGCAGTGGAACAAGGACAAGTGCACCATTTGCCGATGTGATCACGGGATGACGCTCTGCACCAAGAGAACTTGCCCCATGCCACGACCTGGATGTAATTATGACCTCACAAGCCCAAGCCTGAACAAATGCTGTGGTCCAATCAAGTGCCCAAACAGTCCAGGTGAATTGCAGTTATTTTCATATGTGGGCATTAATTATGTGAATAAGACAAGAAAATATAGCTAATTATTGTTTGCAGTGGAGAAGACAAAAACATGCAGATTGTGCCTAGATCATTAGCTACCAGAATTTCACATTGCAATATTACCTAGATAGGCTAGTTAATGGCAATTTTCTTCAAATAAGGACATCCTTGTAAACAGCGAAACATTCTGCTGATATAGTGCCTTGCTTAAAGGTCTTACAAGTATACCTCCTCATTCTCTTTTCACTATGAAATTGTGTAGAAAATAAGTAATTGTTTACTCGATCTGTTAATTATTAATTTGTCAAATTCAGGATATAGGAAGTGTACTGATGAAACTACAACTGTCCGTTACAACCATGGAGAAGTGTGGATGCGTGATTCCTGTACACAATGCCAGTGTCGTCATGGATACACCAGGTGCAACGTTTTCACATGCCCAACACATGTACCAGCTGGATGCCGTACTCTGAACATTGAAAGACAATGCTGCCCTCATGTGCTGTGTGATTCAGGTTAGTGAGAATGACTTACCTGGATGAATCAATGTATACCATGTTTCGCTTTGTGGGACAAAAAATATAATAGAATCGTCAGTGGTAGTGCAGGATGTATTTTCATAACAGCGAATTAGTTCTTCCTCTGTTTACTGAGAGTTAGCTGTCGCTTCATTTTCTTCTTTCTTTTCATGATAGTGAAAGTGGGCCAGTGCCCAGCCCACAACCCTCTGATGGCTACCGTCACAGTAGATATGTGTGGCAGTGATGCTGACTGTGCTGGTAATTCCAAGTGCTGTAACACACAAGCTGCTAGGACCTGTATGTCATCAGTTATATTGGGTAAGTTGTGAATACAGTCAAGACGTAATATTTCCATTCTGTATTAAAAATGGTGAATTGTTCACTTCATTTTTGAAGTGAGTCCTCTATAGTATATGTTGGTGAAGATGTTACAACCCAATGATCATGGCTATTTATAATTTTGTGTTGGACATTTATACTTTCCTTTCAGAACGACCTGGTATGTGCCCTACGACCCAACCAACCTCTAGTATCCTGCGCAAGACATGCGTCACAGAGTGTACTGCAGACAGTGAATGCGGTCAGGATTGGAAATGCTGTAGCGATGGTGGATGTAGTCGTATCTGTCGCCCTCCTGTTTCGCATACTGAGCCTACTGATCCAATGCAGCCCATTGTTCCACAGGAACCCTCTCCTCAGATCCCAGACTTCAACAGTGAGTGTGATCTCTGTAATAAACATAGTAAATGTGATCTAATATGTGATGGCAATTGTGATCAATCATTATCATTGAAACATTAAAGTGAAATTCCAGTTTTGTTTACTTTTACAGCCAAAGAAGGCGTATGCCCTAAGATCACAATCACCAGATGGGATCAGACAATCTGCTTGGCTGAATGCAGCGTGGACACTGACTGTATTGACACTAAGAAGTGTTGCTCTTCTGGTTGTAGACGTACCTGTGTAATGCCACTACCAACCAACACTGGTAAGTTATAAGACGTAGTAGTAATTGCCATGAATATCCTTGGTTCAATTTCGTTGCTGCTGTTTATACGTTTCTGCTGGTGGGCTGAAAGTTACTATATAGCACCATCTTTCTGGTAAGACATTGAAGCTGGTGATTAAAAACAGGTTTCAATGTAACTGCCCATGTGCATAAAGTAGAAGTCTGACAGGTTTTCCAGAAGATAAATCATATTATACCTTACGAATGTATTTAAAAGAAATAATATATTAAAAATTCTATGCTGAAACACATACTATGTCTTTTTTTTTTTATTACAGTTAAGAAGGGACTATGCCCAATTGTACAGCCTCGTGCCACATGCCAGAGTAATGTGGATATTTGTGGTGTAGATAATGAATGTACAGGTAACAAGAAATGCTGCTACAATGGCTGCCATATGGAATGCATGGTACCTGATGCTCCAGGTAAAGAATACTTTATCCTTTCCAATTTCTAAAAATGTATCTGTTGAAATATTCTAGGGAACCTGTAAAGAATATCAAAATGTTAATCTTAAAAAAATATATAATAAAAAAAATTAATTAAATTCTTTATTTAGTCAATATATTTCTTGGATAAACTAACAGTTACCAACATCAAAATAAGTTAAATGGACACTTTCATGTAGAGTGTAGGGTGGATTGTTCTATTCTATTCTGTTGGCAATTGTCAGTTTATTCAGGTGATATGTGTCATTCTTTGACTTAACATCAGTTTTGATGTATGTCTTTATAGTGATCTCATGTCCAGTTGTTGCACCAACTTGTAATGAAGTCTGCACTGAAGGCTATGCTACTGATCCAGAAGGCTGCGAGATCTGCTCGTGTGCACGTACTTGTGACCCAATCAACGCACAGACTTGTAGTAAGGAATGTACCTTTGGTTACGCTACTGACGGTAGAGGCTGCAAGATCTGTAGTTGCAAGAACCCATGTAAGTTGCTTTACAACCTTTCATTATAATCATCCAATTTTCATTCTGTAGCTTAATTATAATTATATTGATAACAATAAAAAGAATAGGAGTGATGTTGAAATTTTAAAATAATAAATCTATAAGACACTTATATAAAACATAAGTTATTACTTCAGTATGGAAGAGTACATGTAATGTTAATTATTTAAAACATACTCAATGTGTCTTCAGCTTTCCCAGAGCAACCTGCAATCAAGACAACCAATGGCAAGCCAGTGTACTGTGAGGTGTTGACATCCACCACATGTCTTTTGAATTGTGTCAATGGCTTCAAGACTGACTCATCAGGATGTGAAATCTGCTCCTGCAAGCAAGCTCGTAAGATGCTATTCCATGAATTACCTTTTAAAATTTGATAGAATATTAGAAGGAGCAAAGACATTAAATAGTAGATTCATTTCCGGGGTAATTCCTTATAAGAGTTTTGTTATGATGGGTGATTCCTATAGCCGATAGGATCTTGGATATGGAGTATGTCCATTCCTATAAATTAGAATCTTATATATGGAGTATGGATAAGGGGAAGATATATGCATTGTTTTTTATACTTTGAGGAGACTATTGTTTTGCCTGATATTTGTCATGTTGTTGTCAGTGATGGTAGCAGTCAATTCCTATACAGTATGATCTTTCATTAGGCCATTAATTATTGGATGAACTGGGTTATTTTATACTTACTGTACTTCATTTTCAAACACTTTAAACAAGAATTAGTTGCATAACCAAAAATCAAGTGGCTAATTTGCTTTTGTATTTGGTTGTTAAATTAGACTTTGCCTTTTTTCTAGCTACTGCTTGCACCCCTCTGACAACCTGTGGTCTGTACTGCGCATACGGACTGGCTACCAATGCTAATGGATGTGAGATCTGCCAATGCAAAGTACCAGGTGAGTCCGAAGCTACTTAACTTTGCCAAATCACATTCTTTACTTACTTTTTGATAAAAGTATGATATAAAGTGATTAAATCTAAAACAAATTTCTTACCTGTGACAATTTGTCACTGCTGAAAGAATTAATTAAATAAATTAATAAATAAAGTCAGTTAAAAAGGGGAGAACTCATTAAATAGGGATCAAATATGTTGTCAATTTTTGTTCCAGTAAGGCATACATATATAAAAGTGTTACTTGTCACTGTTTTTGCACACCATTTTATTTTAAAATCTTATTATTACCATTCAGTTCTCTCTGTCAATCTGATATCAATTCTTTTTGTTCTTTTGTGTAGATATGAACAAGAGGTACTTCAATCCAATAAAGACATTCTGTGAGAGGCCAGCTTGCTACACTCAATGCCCAGAAGGCTACGCTACAGACTCGCATGGTTGTGACATGCGCAACTGTATGTGCAAGCGACCAGGTATGTAGTGGACACCTATTGTATGTGTACTCATTTTATCCAATATCTCGCAATAAAAAATTCAATGATTTTAGTTATGGTTCTAATGTTGTTTTACATTCCTCATTAAACCTAACTGAGTTAACAGTGGTTGTTCAATAATTTTCATTTTTGTCATAGTTTCTGACTGCCCAAGGATGACACCAGAAACCTGTCCTGAGCGATGCCCATATGGATTTGCAACAAACACCCTTGGCTGTGAGGTGTGCAAGTGTAGACTTCCAGGTTTGTCATCACATTCTGTAATCTTTCAACTAAATATATGTACAGTAGTTGCATCCCCTAATTGTTGAACATGTACCCCACTGGCCATACTTGTGGAGTAAAGCTGTGGTGTGATGGTTAGGATGTTCACTTTCCATATTACAGGTCCTGGGTTCAAATCCTCTATAATTCTATATATATTTTTTTTATCACAACTAAATACAATTAAACTCTCTAGGTTTCGCAATAGCATCATAGTTCCATCCTGTGAAATTTACCTGCTGTGAGCAGTGGTCTGGTGCCTCCCAGATGTTGCCACAATCTGCAAACACTCTTGCGAGCAAGCAAAAATTTCCCGCAAGCTAACCCACCTTCAAATTCAGAATGCTTGCATGTTTTTACTTCTGTCTTAATTTCAACTTATCATTCTTCCAGTGAAATGCCCAGATATGTCCAGCTGTACGGAAACTTGTATTGATACCGGATTCCAAACTGACAACTTTGGTTGTAAGAAATGCATGTGCAACCCACGCCCAAGTAAGAAACTTTCCTTTCAATAATGTTACATATCATTAACATTATGAAAATTTTGAAATTTGAATATACAGCTGATAATTCAATTATAATTATTGTATTAATTTTTTTCCTTTATTGCATAGTAACCCAATGCCCATCATTGACCATTGAGGCATGCCCTATCAAGGATATGTGTGCATATGGCTTGGCTACAGACAACCTAGGATGTCCCACATGTATATGCAAATTACCAGGTGAGCAACATTAACATTATATAATTAAAGTATTGTTATTTGTTGCTAATATATTGTATAATATTACTTAATGTGAACCTCTGTTATCAATTTATCAACCTAATAATTTGTTGTTGGTCATAAATCCAGAAAATAAATTTGAATTAAATATTTTAAAATTTTATAGAAGCAACTTGTCCACCAATGACCTGTGACCTTAGGTGTGAGTTTGGATTCAGTACAGACAAATCAGGCTGTGAAATATGCAAATGCAAACAATCTGGTAAGTTATCAATCATTCATCCCATCATTCATTACCATTAAGTAACCATATTTGGTCATGAGACCATTCATTCTGATACTACAGTGTTTTTGTAATTATTTGTATTAATTGAATTATATTTCCCCTCTTGCAGGATCCACATGTCCAGTAATTACCAACTTCAACTGTAAGAAAGTATGTCCATTTGGTCTGGCAACCTGCACTACAGGATGTGAAATCTGCGCCTGCAAGAAACCAGGTAAGCACTGACTTACACCGTATTATATAGGCTTTAAGATTCATATTGTTGAAAATGTACTAATTAGTCCAGAGCTAAAGTTAATTTTGAGAATATGGGCCCAAACTATTTAAACAATATGTCTTGTCTGCTGGTCATGTTTACAGTATTGATCTATTCTGTGAATAATCTAACACCTGTATAATCTGTTTTGATTATTTCTTTAATGACAACACCCCTTTAAAAAATGCTGATCATGTTAGGTCTTAGATAATCTAAGAGTCTTAACTGCTTGAATAAAGCCGGTTTATCACTTAGACGGTCTTACTAAAGTCATTCCTCTAAGACCATTGCTATAAAACAGTCTTCCCTAAGACTGCTTTGAGTATTGAAACGCAAACAAGCACTCCCTGGTAACGAAAGATTGAGGGCGGCGTCATGCGTGCTCACGCACGCAAATGTATCAAAATGAACGTAAATAAACGCAGTAAACCTAATTTTAAAGACGCTGAGAAGTGTGCGGAGTATTCGTCGTTCAATTCTCTGACTTTGACGATCTAGGCCTAGGTCTTGCCATTGCACTGTTCAATTAATCAGCAGAACGCCATGATGAAAATGATTTAAGACCGTTTTAAGCCTCCTCCGAGTAGGCTTTAAAATTTAAGACAGCTAACTGGTTAGACCGCGGTAGAGCAATGGTTTATAATCATAGACCAGTAGTGACGTCACGATTATAGCCGGCTATCCGTTAAGACCGTCTAAAGATCGCTTATAACAATCCGCCCCTGGTCTCTGTAAAGTTTAAGGAGTATTATATCTTTAATATATACTTGATGATTCTATATTTTAACTTTTCAGTCAGCAAAACCTCAAACAAATTCCACTCCAAGAACATGTATGGAGCAACATGTGACCCAGTGACCCCACAAAACTGTGCCTTGACTTGTACTGATGGTTACGCAACTGATTTTGGATGTGAAATCTGCCAATGCCGTCAACCAGGTTAGAATATTTAGAATATTATATGGAGACCTCCCATTGGCTATATTTACATTTTCAGTATTTGCTATTTACTGCATGATTTAATTACCGTAATGACCAGTTGTTACTATTTGTCTGTTTCCAGAAGCAAATTGTCCAGTGTTGACCGATATAGCCTGTCCAAGAAAACTGACCTGTCCATATGGTTTGTCCAGCAACAGTCAGGGATGTCCAATTTGTGAATGCAAACAGCCCAGTAAGTTGCACAATCTCTTGTATGTTGCAGTTTACTTTCTTACTGATATACTATTATTATTGATGATGATGCTTTGCTGTTGTGATTGTGATAATATCGTGTGGTGATGACAGTCACTCAATTATAATTATATTTATCTATATTTTATTAATACAAACTTATTATAATAGCTAATGCATAAATGTCATTTCCTCATTAAATTTTTTTCAGTTTCATGCAGTGTAAATGAATGCACCACAGAGTGTCCATATGGCTATGCTACAGACACCAAAGGCTGTGACATCTGCAAATGCAAGCTAGCACGTGAGTATGACAATTATAACAAAAACTAATTCATTACCATAGATATATCCAGGTGGTAAACAGATGAATGTTCCAGGTGTTAGTGTTACATGATATCTAATTTTATACATTCATAACATAACAATGAATTTAAACTCTATTCTCTATCCAATTCTAAATATTTTTAAAATTATACCCTGGTTATAAAATATACCATTGTAGTATTTGCTGTTAATGGTACAAAGAAATCCTGGCCAAATATTTCAACACTTTTTTTTAGGTTTTTGAAGGATAAATAATAATAATGCTTATTTATTAATATATCTTCACAGCATCTGCAACTTGCAAGCCAATGACAATCCATAATTGTCAGAAGATGTGCAGTTTTGGTTACGCTACTGATGTTGATGGCTGTGAGACCTGTGCCTGCAAGCAGCCATCAAGTAATATTATTTGTCTAATAATTCATGATTATTAATTAATGATTATTGATTTGTTATTGATTATAGCCATTGAGTTATGAATATTATCACTGATCAATTGATTAATGATTGATTGGCATGTTTATACCTTTACAGTATTTTGTAGGTTATTTATTTTAAGCATTTACTTTACAGTTGACCTGTAAAGTATTTCTGAGTATGAAATGCGATGTGAAATGTGATCCTATCTAATTTCATATATTATTTTTCTACCTTTCTTTAATTTTGTAATATAATATACAGTCGATTGTTATTTATTTTGTTCGTTAAATTTTACCTTTTTTTGTTTTTGTTTTTGTTTGTACGAACGCACCAATTGATATTGAGTGCCACCGATTCAAAGGTGTATGTTCAATTAAATAAATAAAGTGCTTTGTCACCAAGTGGAAATAATTTAGATGTATATGATCAGCAAATTCTGACCGACCGGTGGTAATAATGATAGTGTAGTTTTATATAGCACACAAATCCATCTAATGTAAGATGCTCAGGGCGCTTGAAATGTGGACTAGGAACTCGATCAATGGTAGTATTTCAATTTTTATTCCATCATTAATATTTTGTTCTTTTTCCATTTAGTCAAGACTGGTATCACTGTGTCTGGATCCCCATTATGTGAGCCACTGCCTAGTTGCCAGATAACCTGTACCAATGGTTATGCAACTGACAATAAAGGGTGTGAAATCTGCTCTTGCAAAGCCCCTGGTAAGGAACAATTCTAAGATTTATTATTTTATGTTTTAATTAACACATTATATGTTGTAGCTACTTCCTAAGACACCAAAAATCTAGTGTGTCTCACTAATCAATGATTTAAAACTATATTTTCTCTGCATTATTACTGCACTAAATTCAGTATGCCTATTTTCAAATATTGTTGCAAGGGTTTTCAGATTCTACTACCTGTACATATTGTTATACCCATTTTGTAAGATTGTATGCTTCATTGATGTCATTTCTGTGTGTTGTTTACAGTCTCCCGATGTGGTGCTATCTCGTACAGAATCTGTCCACAGAAAACTTCCTGCCCCTTCGGCCTAGCAACCAACTCAGATGGATGTGAAATTTGCTCTTGCAAGATTCCAGGTAAAATGGATAGAAACATTGGATAGCTGTCAATTACTTTTAAAAGATTATTGTTTTTTTAAATACAAGTGGATTTCATTCAAATTGGTAGAGGTAAAGGATCAGAAAATACTTCGAAGAATTGCCAGCTAATAAAATTAATAGGCCTATGAAATATATAGTCTTGAGAATCTATTCAAATTAAACTAATTATATATATATTTTTTTACTTACCTTACAGCTACGTGCCCTAAGGTCGACCGCACCAATTGTGATCAACGTTGTGATTTTGGTTATGCCACTGATACACAAGGCTGCGAAGTTTGCCAATGTAAAACATTCAGTGAGTATAGCCAATATTGATTTTAATCTTTACTTGTGATTTTTTTTAAAATGCAAATTGCATGATATTGAAATGTTATTTTTTTTCACTTTAGGTCCACAGGTACTAGAATCTGTGAGAAATGCTGTTTTTAGTATCTGATTGTTGAGGATACTATTAATTTGTGCACGCTTTCTCTTGTTTTATCTAGATCCACGAACCTGTTCTTTGGTACATGAATTCAACTGTCGTATATTCTGTCCTTATGGTCTGGCAACCAATTCTCTGGGTTGTGAAGTCTGCAAGTGCAAGTTACCACGTGAGTGGCAGTCCATGTGTATCAACATATTCCGTCATATTTTTTTACTGTTAAACTTGTTTTAGTTTACTTTTTGTTATGCACCCAAGTGGAAAGAAGTTTTGCTTTTGTTTAAAACTGTCTTTGGTTATCCGGGTTCAATTTGTTCATTTTAACTTGTACTTTGTACTTGTATTTTTAATTCTTGCTCATTTTATGTAACTTTATTTGTGGAGCCGAATAAGTCAAATCAAATTTAAAAAAAATAAAAATCCCATAAACAAGATATATCATTGATAAAAAAAACCCCAATTTTATAACTCTATTAAAACTGAGATCATCCAGTGTAATAACTGATATATGCTAAATGTCTTTTTGATACCACCTATATATTTTTTCCTTTTTAATTGTTCGTAAGCGTTTGTTGATTTTTCATTTAGCCGGTCAAGAAACCTACACAGTTGTATCTCTGAGACCCGATAGCAGATGTCCCAAGGACGCCCTCAAAACCTGTGCTTTGACCTGCCCCAATGGCTATGCCACAAGCAAGGGCTGTGAAGTCTGCAGTTGTAAAGAAACAGGTAACAAATCAGCCTGTTTTAGTTATAAAAATGTGCACTATGATTTTTTTTCTGCTAGAATGAAGAATATTATTATATCATAGATATATAAAATGCGATATTTGTTTTTATTTCATGTAATACAATATGTACATTTAATTGGTAAAAACAGCCATTTATTGAACTGCCTTAACAGCAGATGCATATCCAAAAATTATACAAAATATTGTAACACTATGTGACAAGATAAATGAAAAAGTCAGTTGTATTACAGTGCAGTCAGATGGTTCTTCTCAAGTGAAGTGTGAGAATATTTCATGAATACTTTCATGCATAAACCGACCAATTGCGCTGTTTTTTAAAGAACAATTTTTCTATTTTAACATCAGGACCACAATGTACAGCAGTTACCCCAGAAGTGTGCCCCAAGATGTTAAGATGTCAGTTCGGTCTTCAAACCAATGATCAAGGCTGTGAAGTCTGCTTCTGTCGCCTACCAGCCCTCTGCAAATCTCTAAAAACTTGCAAAGTACAATGTGAAAATGGTTTTGCAACTGATAAGTATGGATGTGAAATTTGTGAATGCAAAGCAATAGGTAAGGTCATAATTGATAAACGACAGTCAACAATTGTACACAATATTTAGGACTTGGGAGGTAGTTCTGTAAACAGGTATTGTATAATATTTTGTTATTTTTCTTTAGGTCCAACTTGTACCCCTGTCACCAACTGCAATATTGCTCAAAATTGTGAGAATGGACTTGCCACTGACCCAGTAACCAGATGCGAAATCTGCAGTTGTAAGATGCCAAGTAAGTCTTAGGCTACGTTCAGACTTGGAGATAAGCCAGGCTTGAGTTAAGCCCGGCTTAACTTTGGCGGGCATTCACACTAGTGGGATTAGCCAGGCGCGAGAATTTGCATAATGAATTGAAACCAGGAAACGTGTTTCAAAATATTGCTCGCGAATTGTACGTTCGCTCACAGCGTACGTTACTGAATGCTGATTGGCCATTTTGTTACCCGAATTCAATGCAAGACCCCCTGCAACGATTAAAGCCCGGCTTAGAAAAGTTAAACACAGTGGCACGCCAGGCCTAGTTACTATAGGAACACAGCCCGGCTTGAGATAAGCCACCTAGTTCAGACTGGCACATAGATAAACCCGGTGAGTTAAGTCGGGTTTATGAACCTAGTCTGAACTAGGCCTCATTTTACTGAATTTAATTTCTGTCCAGGCTCAAATTTTATTTGACAAAACTTGTGATGACATCAGATCATGACTATGTATTGGCACATCATGACTATATATGGGCACATCATGACTATGTATAGGCATACAAAAGATTTGACAGTCTGGACAGGGCTTTAGGTTTATATTCCTTGGGAGTAGAAAGCATGTCAATGATGTAATGGTATGTTTCATGGTGCAAAATTTTTTATATCAGGTATGTTCGACCTGATTTCAATGTGGTCAGTCAGAAATGGTATGTTATTAATCAACATAAGGTTTTGTATTGAATGAGCTAATAAACATTAAATAATGTTTAAAATATGTACAACCATAAGCCCAGTGGCTATGGCTTTAAAGCCCCTCTGGTGCAGTCAGTCCCATAATCAGAGTGCTTTATTTAATGTTCTTTTGATCAACCGATAATTTCCCAATAATAAGGACAATGCCAATAAAGAACACATTGATGATCTTATCTTAAATACTAAAAAATAAAGGTATTAGTGACAAGTGGAAGCTTAATATTATTTCACTCTTTTCCCATCTAATTCAGGAGCACCAACATTCTATAATGAACCAAATGCTGGATCAAAGAACGTCCTCATCCCAGAGGTTAAGACATGCAGCTACTCACCACACCGCTCATGTTCTCTAGTGTGCAGTAATGGCTTTGCCACTGACTACAAGGGATGTGAAATTTGTATGTGCAAGGTCATTGATAGTAAGTACCTTTAGACATGTTTGCTGCTGTTCTTGCTCCTGTAGAGGTCCCACATCTCCTGCATGTCACAGGAATGTGTCCTGGAAATTGACAGACTCATGCACTGTCTTGAACCATAAAAAATCTTCCTTATTATATCTTTTTAATAACTTTTTTTGCCAGACACTGTATGTCCAGTTATCACTGAAGTAGTGTGTCCAATTATGAGGAGATGTGAATATGGCCTGGCAACCAATACTGATGGATGCAGCATCTGCGCATGCAAAGCACCAGGTAAGAACATTGTTGGATTGTAAAGGCCAACTCAGACAGCGTCATACGACGCAGCCCGACACGATTTGTTGTCGCGTCGAGTCTGTGTGAGTTAAACGCAGACGCGATGGTGTGCGTCGGTGGCAGTCGCGTCGTAGAATATTAAACATGTTTAATAATTCTCACGACGGCTTAAGACTGTCCCCGACGATAAATCGGGTCGGGCTGCGTCGGCCGGCTCTGTCTGAGTAGGCCTTTAGCTTACATAAATATTAAATATTAAATGAGATATTAAGCAAAATAAATTATGATTAGCCACAAGTTCGGGAATGTGAGCTCAGGAAAAATGCTGAAGTGCTTTGGTGTATTTACTACTTCAAAATGACTGCATATTCACGTAACATTGGTATCATTTCAAGATTCACTAGAGAAGCATCATGGTGTAATTGTTCAACATGCGGCTTAGTAATTGTTATTAGTATATGTTTGTGCATTCGGAACAGCCACTTTGTATATGATGATATTCCTCCATAAAGCCTTTTTTTCAGGAATAATTGTAATAATTTTTTTACTCAGTATTCTTTAATAGATGTTTGAAATAAATGTTTTTGTGAACCAACTTCTGCTCTCTTTCAGCCATGTGCAAGCCGGTTGATGCCTCCAACTGTAACCTCCGCTGTGAGTATGGTTATGCCACCGACACCTACGGTTGCAAGACATGTGCCTGCAAGAGCCAATGTGAGTACATGCTAAAAAATGAGCCCTGAGATGTTTCTACCTTTGGCATTATCCTTTAAGAACACCCCTAAGACAAAAATAGAACCGACTGATTGTCCCAGCATGGATTGATTTTGTATGTTATGATTTATATAAAACTTTATAGCTTTATACAATAAGTGTTGTTGTTTTATTGTAGCTATAACATGCGTACCTGTTACATCAGTGACCTGTCCACTCACCTGTACCCTTGGCCTGGCAACTGATTCCAATGGTTGCGAAATATGCAAGTGTAGAATGCCATGTAAGTAAACAAGTTCTTGATAAATAATGTAATCAATTTAGAAAGTCATTTAAACTAGATAGCAGGCACAAAAGTGTCATGATGCATGCCTACACACAGTCGAAACAACACAATATACTTGAGAACACTACTCCCTCACAGGTCCCCTGTACAAATACACTTTACATAAAACTGTCAATCACTCATAGTCCCCTAAAATACATCAAACACCAAACTCTCCCTAACAAATCCCTGACACTCACAGACCTCTGACGCATATGAAAACACACATTCTCTCAGAGACACCTGACATATCAAAACAAACACTTCCTCACAAACTCTTGACACATCAAAACATTCACTCCATCAAAAATTGTGTATGTCCAACTCTGCAAGTACTTGTTAGATATTATGACTTATTCTGTAGGTGTTGTCAAGACATTGAGTTTCCAGGTGCCAACTGATGCCCAGCCTAACGCTGTGATACCACAGAGCAGGTGGATCCCTAACCTCCGTTGCTTCAACCTCAACAACTGCCTTCGCACCTGTCCTTACGGATACGTCACCAACACCATGGGATGTGAAATTTGTCAATGCAGGAAACCACGTAAGTCTCTACTTTTAGTGAAGGCACTTGCCTTTTAATTTCATGATCTTGGGTTCAAATCATAAAAGAATCATTTTATTTACCACTATGAAACCCCCAAACTTGAAATTGTATAAAGACATAGCTTCAAAATAGTGGAGTAGCCATGTTAGTCTGATCTATACAATCAGTAGAAAAACACCTTAAAATTTTTGCCTGGTTTTTTGTTTTTTGTTTTTTTTTTTGACTGATGATGTAGCTTGTAATTTTGACAAGATTCAAAGAATAAGTGGTTTTTGTAATAACAATATTTCCAGTGTTTTAACTTGTGTTTGTATTTGGCCTTGTAGCATCTCAGTGCCAGACTGTATCAGTCACTAACTGCCCCATCAAAGAAACATGTCCTTATGGTCTGAGAACTGATGTAGATGGATGTGAAATCTGCTCTTGCAAACAACCAAGTAAGATCCCATCATTTACTTTTAGAAATAAATATGAATTAGAAATTGGAAAACTAATTTTTAATGTTACACTGAATTTTTTAAATTTTGTTAGTGTATTTTTTTTCATTTGAAAGAAAATTTATGTTAATGCAAGTCATAAATACCCCATTGAGTATAAGTTTGCTGTAGAATTACATGTAATATACATTTTTTAAATTTAATATTTATGTAAAAGAAAAACGAAACAAATGATGTCCACTAGTGCTGGCTCATACATAATAAGAATTTATTAGCGATTAAACCTTATTTTATATTTATACGTAATGTAATATTATTTACAGCTCCTTGCAGCTCGCTGCCCTCAACCAAGTGTACAACTGTCTGTTTGAATGGCTTTGCAACTGACACCGCTGGTTGCCCAGACTTCAGGTCATGCAAGTGCAAACGATCAGGTGATTGACAACTATTGTTGCTGTTGTTATTGTTGATTTTTGTTATTATTATGTTATTTATTAGCCTGTACAAAATAACAATTGTATTTTTTTCTTTCCTGATGATCAGCCAGCTCACGTGTATGTGATTCTAGAAGAGAGGAAATAAGAAACTGCAAGAAATCCTGTGCATATGGCTACGCTTCCAACACCTTCGGATGTCCAATTTGCAAATGCCAACAACCAAGTAAGCTCGTCTCAAAATTAATTACCCTTAATGAGTTTTAGCAATCTAAATTCAATTGAACATATTCTGATTATTGGGTCTGCGCAATTTGCTGACCGCAGAGCCTCACTGCTGTTCTTGTTCTTGTTACCAAAAATTTCAAAGCGTCCATTGTCTCCAGTTTTGAACGGACGTGCAGGAAATTTTGTACACATAAACTAAAGGTACACATAAACACATGGACCAGTGGGCGGTCGCTCTTGTATTAGTCTATTTTGTGAAAACTTAATTGCATAAACCGAATAATTGCCTTATTCCCCGAAACCGAACACCCCTTCAAATAGAATAGAAAAGGCCGACCCAGAGCGCCACATTCAAACAATAGTCCTCATTCCTTATTCGACGGTTTACGAATAAGGAGCTCACTTTGTGATTAAGATTGATACAGTCTACTTTACATGCATTTTTTGGAGATTGTGTAATTTTCGTAAAGTTACTTTCTACATGAAGATTTCTTGAATTATTTTTACTCTTGGAATTGTTAGGTTATATATAATTATTATATTATTTTATATTAATTTGAATTATTATGTACTTTTAATTAATTTTCATTTTTAATATTCTCTTCAGCCTCCAAAGAGCTTTCCAACAAAGTTACTGTTTCCAGAACAGTGTTCACAACCCCTAACAGGCTTCCAACAACATTCTACAATGGAGTCAATTCTGTGAATTCTGTCAACTGCCCATTGGTCAACACTGAATCTTGCTCTTTGACCTGTGACTATGGATACGCGACTGATTCCACAGGGTGTACAACTTGCAAATGTAGATCTAACCCAGGTCAGTTGAGAAACTTCTTGGCTGAGATCAGAAAAAAATATTTAGAAATAATCTTTTGGAACAGCAGCAACAGAGATAGTCGTAGACCAAAAAAGTGTGTTCCCATTTTGTTTTATTAATCAGATTTTTTCTAATTTCACCCATTAGCTACTTGCCTACAAATTACTGCTGAGATCTGCCCTCTGGTGTTGACGGCTAAATATGGCTTGGCTACAAGTGCTACTGGGTGCGACATGTGTCTCGCTCGCAGACCAAGTATGTAGTATTCTAAACTAGTATTAAAAACTTAATGGATATTTTTATATAGTATAATATTTTGATTTTCAACTATTTTTTCTTTTATAAAATTTATTTTCTGAATGTGAATCATCTCATAAGTTTGTCTTCCTTGTTCTCAGTGACTTGTAACCCTGTTAACAACCAGAATTGTGCCAACAACTGCTTGTATGGCCATGCCACTGACAACTTTGGATGTGAAGTCTGCAATATGTGTGCCAAACCACGTAAGTCAGATACCAGAAAGCTTTCATTTATCTACCTACATTCTGGAAGTCTTTAACATGATTGTTATATTGGCTCTAATAATTCAATATAGCATTATTTATTTACCATCTTCTGTTTCCTGTCTTTTGTAATTGTATTCCTTTTGTTTATTTGTAGCTGGTGAGTGCATTGGTATCCCGTCAACTTGCCAGAAGAACTGTAATTACGGATACGCCACCGACCCACAAGGATGTCCCATGTGCCTCTGCAGGAATCCACCTAGTAAGATACCAACAGAAAACATTTTAATAATTATTCTTTTTCTGTGAAGGGAAAAACCACAATGCATTTCATGGAACTGATGTCAGCTAATATTAGCTGTTTCCTGCTAACATTTTGATATCCCCAGTCTGTAGTGATTCTCACAGTGGTGTACAAATAACATCTGTAGAGGGCGCAAGTCACTGTGCTCAATCCTTGCAAAATTATATTGTTTTTCTGGCGACCAAAACAGCACCGTCCTTATAAATGCACTTGCAGCAGGGATATTAAATGATCAGCTGTGAAGATTTAAAACTTATTAAGTATTTTGTTTATCTTCAGGTTACAAGACATCTCGCATCGTCAACTTCAAGCCTACTACCACCCCAAAAACTCCAACAGTTGCAGCTCCTGCACCCACCTGCCCAGATCTTAACTGTGCTCTATCTTGCTCTCAAGGATATGCGACCGACCCAACAACTGGATGCGGACTCTGCAAGTGCAGCGGACTCAGTAGGTTTTCAACCATGGTTCTTTTTCTGTAAAGTGAACATTTCATAAAATTATAATTTCAGATGTATTTTGAATTAAAACAAAGAAAAAATAAAATTTTAACATTTATGGCGGAGATGACATGTAGTGGAATTACGTTTAAGGTGCTTATCTTCTGTTCACTGGGTTCTGGGTTAAAATCCTTTGAGACACCAAGATTTTTCTCATCATTAAAACCAACTCCACTACCTGGTCTGAAATTTGTTTAAAGCATCATGCTGAGTTGACCTAGTGGTGAGTCTCTCAATGTTTAATAACAATAACATACCTATAAAATTGATTGTAATAATTGATACGTCATTTACAACGAATACTTATCCAATATTTACTCAGATTGCCGTGAACGTGAGTGTGCCGGAAAATGCCCATTTGGAGTCGTCACAAACCGCAAAGGATGTCAAACATGTACATGCAAGAAACCAAGTATGACAAACTAATATTTCATCAATTAATTTGCTGTATCACTAAATACATGTTGCTTTTTAGGATTAGTAATTATTGATTACTAATTATTATTATAATTTTCATTTCCTTCAATATAATAAGTATTTTATAAATAACAAAAAATACCAATGTGAAGTAACATTTTATAGCAATAAACAGCTATATTCTGAAGTTTTTTATATTTTTTATTTATATCTTTAGTAACCTGCCAACCGCTATCCCAATGCAATTTGAACTGTCCACGGGGATATGCCACCAATGTCCATGGCTGTGAAGTGTGTTTGTGCAAGAAAAACTGTAAGTCAACCATAAGTTTAGCATTTCAATAACTACACTTTTAGAGGGCAGCATATTATGTAGTACCTCAGCTGGCTAAACAGGTGGTAAACACTGTGTGTTCACTGAACCATGAAGATCCTTGAATTGCTTTTTCAATTCTATCCAGTACTCTGTATTGTCATTACATATGCAGATCTACAACAGTCATTTTCAGGATACTTAACTTTTACTAAAGATTTTCTAGTGTATAAACTATGTTAAATTATTTGTTTATCTTGATCTTACAGTTGATGTGTGCCCAGAGCCGATGTGTGAGATAGATGAGACATTGAGATGTTCCTTTGGATATGCAACGGATGCTAATGGCTGTGAGATCTGTCAATGCAAGATGCCAGGTAAGTTTAAAGAACAGAAATCGTTGTGTTCTACCATTTAAGGAGTTTTTATTAATCTGTTCAAATTCTAGTCTCTTACAAGACAGTACTGTTTTGCTTTCTTGATTGACTTTGTGTCTCTTTCCATGTTTGTGAAGTTGGAAAGAGACAATATTCTTTGATCAAATATGTCTGATAAAACATTGTTTTTTATGTCTTTGTTTCTAAGGTCTGAAAAAAATGTATTTTTATATCTGTTTATGTATTAGTAATGATAGCTTTTTCATTATAATTGAATATTAATCCTTTCCTTATCAACAGTGATTTCTGTCATACCCATTAATGCCACACCTGTGAAGTGTACCCCACTAACTGGCTCCACCTGTAGTTTGAGCTGTCCCAATGGTTTTGCTACTGACACCACAGGTTGCGAAACTTGTCTATGCATCAAACCTGGTAAGATAGCACTGTCAACTATGACAATTGATGTTTTGTCAAGAGAGTAAACAATTAAGAATATTAGTTTTGGTAGACCATGCATTGGAAATTATTTCCCTCAAACACCTTGGTTGTAGATGTTCAGTGGTAAGTAAAATTACTCTGACCGTCATCCAGGTTCCTGAACTGTCTTAAAAAGCTCTGGCTTGCAACGGAAACAAAGTTACTTGTCTGTTACTGTCCAACGTAAACCTTGGTCATGACTGCTCTAGACTCAACTCTACTACTAGTACTAGCTAAGCAATCAAAGAGTGTGTCTTTCTTTGCATATTTCCTCAGTTTCAACAGCACCCATCGTCTTGTCATAGAGGTCGCAGTCCCCTTTACCATCAGCAGCGCGATGTTAAGTGGGCCTAGAGTTTGCACATCGCGACAGGTCAAAAACATGCTATTTTTTAGGGGAATAGTACTTTTTCAGGGGAATAGTACTTTCTATTGCCTGCTTCTTCACCAATCAGATGCTTAGAATTTATGTATGAGGTATATAAATGTTTCTACAGGTTGTTATATAATTATTATTTTCTGTTTTAGCTACTGGTTTCAGGGGAATAGGACTTTCTATTGCCCGCTTCTTAACCAATCAGATGCTTAGAATTTATGCATGAGGTATATAAATGTCTCTACAGGGTGTTATATAATTATTATTTTCTGTTTTAGCTACTGAGTGTGGAATAGCTGTCACTGATTGCTCCATTGCCAGTACATGTCCATATGGACTGGCGACTGATGACCTTGGGTGCACTGTTTGCAAGTGTAAAATGCCATGTAAGTACCTTAAGCTTTGTCCACTCTATCAAATTTTCTTTGAAAAAAACTGTTGTATGCCCATATATAGTCATGATGTGCATATATATATTCATGATGACATCACATCATGACCAAATTTAGACATGTTACATGTTTTTGTAAAAAATAGTCTGGAAAGGACTTCAGATACATGTTCAAATTTGCCACCAATTCTTTAATTAGTTTACATAAATGTGATGTATTTGGCTATATAACATTTTTTTGAGTGAAGCTGGAGCATGTTGGTTAACTGCCTGCCTTGCAATCCAAAAATCCTTGGTTCAAATCCAGTAAAATTCTGATTTTACTTCCTCATTTCTAACCTTGTAAATACTGAAGCTCTGTCCATTATTTATTTTACAAACAATATGATGTCATATTGAATCCATATATGGGCAAATCACATATATTGTCACATGAAAGACAACATGGAGTTTTTAGAGTATTAATTGTTTTTTATGTTATTGCAATGCATTTTGTATTTGCTGATTCAGTCATACTTAATTTTTTGAAAGAATATTAAACACAATTTTTTGTTTATTTACATACCATAGCTTTGTGTCAACCATTGCCAAGTAGCTGCAACGAGAACTGTGAGTTTGGAATAGCAACCAACAGGTTTGGCTGTGAAAAATGTGCCTGCAAAGAGTGTAAGTTTATAAGGATCTAAAAAACACATAAAAACATATATGGTAGTTCCAAAATATAAGCAGATTAAAATAAAACAAAACATAATTCTAAAATTATCTTTATTGATTTGTTTATTATAGCCAAGGTCATCAAGCCAATAATTCTGCTTAAAATGAACTTGTAAATTAAATGTTAGCAAGACTCTGATGTGAGTGTTTTGTAAGATATATTTAATTTATATCATTATAGATTCTCCTGGTGACTGTCCATCTTTGACTACCTGTACTTTGAATTGTCCTCTTGGTCTTGCTAGCAATAATGCCGGATGTGAGATTTGCAAGTGTAAATTCCCAAGTAAGTAAAATTTTTTTTTTCAATTAAATGGAATTAGGTAAATCATAACCTGTTTATGTATTACATTTAAACGCCCTCCCTCCTCCCTTGCCGAGATCTGTTATAAACTCGTAGCAAATGAGGAGATTGTTCATTAATGCAGGGCACATATAGACGAGCTAGTGCGAGTCCATTATTTTTCTTCTATATTAGGTAAGTTCCAAAGGAAACTTAGGCATTTATCTGTTTATCCAGGTAAATATCCCACTCATAGACTAACAACATCACTACTGATTTGTTTAATTTGTCCATTGAATTTAATTTGCAAAAAAGCAGAAAAAAGTTGATGTGATTATTAAATGAGTTATGCTTTTTTTTTTTTTTGCACTTAGCTTCAGCTATGGTGACAATGGTAAGCGAACTGACACCAGTACAGGATCCCAACCTGCCAACCACAGCTGGTGTCAATGTACTAGCTCCAGCCTCGCCCTGCTCTCCAATCCAGTGCTTTGTACATTGTCCTCATGGATTTGTCACTGATCCTGTAACCGGATGCGAAGTCTGTGAATGTCAGACAGGTAAGTGAACCCATCTCAGATTGCTTAGTGCTCTGTCCAGATTATCTTTAAATGATGATGTGCCTATATATGGTCATGATTGATGTCATCATGACCATATTTAGGCATGTCACATGTTTTTGATAGTCTAAACAGGGCTTAAAGCGCTGTCCACATTATCAAGTCTTTCCTTTACAAAAAAATTCAAAGTTGGTTGGTGGCAGCATAAACCAGTAAATCTGTGTAACTAGTCAGTAGTCCACAGAACACATTGCCATAGCAAAACAAAGTTTGCTGCCCTCTACAGATAGTAAATTTCAATATTTGTTTACTTAGCTCCAAGATTCACCTGCCCAGCTGTTCCCCGGACTACTCACAGTATGTGCGTGGACTTCTGTGCTTTGGACTCTGACTGTCCACCAAACGCCTTCTGTTGCTCCAATGGTTGTGGAAAGACTTGTTTAGCTGCAACATCCAATGGTAAGTTTCAAGTTGTTATCACCGACCTTGTGAGGTGACTTACTAGGTATGCTTATGAAATATTCTCATAGTGTTAAATGCATGTGGCCATATACTTACTGCATACTTGCAATGCATGTTGTTTATAATGCTATGTATTAAAATACTAAACATATTCTGTGGCAATGCCCTTCAAAAAATTCCAGCCTCTGGTCATCATTACTGGCCCAGTCCAGTTTCATTATAAGTGAACAGAGTGAATCTCTGGGATTAACAATGTCTTACAAGCCACTAAGGCTGGTTGAATGTTGATTGCATATGTACAGTAGTACATCACTCTTTTATTTGATATAAATTTAATCATTGTCCGTTCATAAAATTCTTTTATTGATTTTATTACAGAATGTATTGATGAAAATGGTGTGTCTCATGCTTCTGGCAAGGTGTGGATGCGTGATAGCTGTACTCGCTGCTCTTGCGACCAAGGTGTTACATCATGCTCTGCCTTTAAATGTGAACCAATCCCACAGGGATGCCAACCATTCTACATCACTGGACAATGCTGTCCCAGCTCAAACTGTCGTAAGTGTTAACTTTCTACGATCACTTTCTATAAGGAATAAAAGTTCTTGCTGTGCTTATATAAAATAAACTCTTACAAAAATGTGGGTTTTAAAAAAATATATTGTTCCAGAAAGTAATTTCCTCACCAAACATACCAATTACATTTATTGGTAATTTATTTAACATAATTGCTACATAGACCATGCCCGGTATTTTAAAACACATCAAAACACCACACTCTCCCTAACAAATTCCTGACACTCCAAAACACCCACTACCTCACAGAACTCTGACGCATATGAAAACACACATTCTCTCAGAAACCAAACTCTTGACACATCAAAACATATGGTTTCGGTGTGGTCTTGCACAACAACACAATGCACAAACTTTTTTTTGTCAAATTTCAGCTGACAAGGTATGTGTGAACCAAGGCACCTGGATTGAGGACACCTGTACTAACTGCACATGCGTTGATAACGCCGCAGTCTGCACCAAACAGTCGTGTCCAGAAATCAAACCTGGCTGCACTCCTGAATACGTTCGTGGAAAGTGTTGCCCTGACATGAAATGTCAAGGTCAGTTATTTCATTATGTTGTATTGCTATTATATAATAATAGTATTACATAGTAATTGTTTTAGTAATTTATTATATAGTAATGTCATTTATAATAGCATATTACAATATTGTTAGTGGTACCAAAAATGTGTTTATGCTGAAAAAGTATAAAATACACATGAAAAAAAAATATTGTTCCTTGTTGTAGTAAAATAAAAACAAACTAAAATGCCAACCCTGAATTTCGTAAAAATTGGGTCGGTTGGGCATGGCCAACACAATTATTTTGTTTTATTCGGCCTAATCCCTATGTTAATAATACAGTAACTTTAGTTCTGATATTACACATTAGAAAGAACAGTGAGTCGTTAATAAAACAAATTAATATGAGAAAAACAAACATTACATTGTAATCTATTAAAAAATTGTGGTTAACTCTCACTGAAAGCTGATGCAGAAACAATAAATAATGTTGCAAAGGTATTATTAAAGAATGCATTAATTTTTTTTTATGGAGGAATGACTTTGGTGAATATTAATTATCGCAATTTGCTTTTAGTTTCTGCGTACAAAGGAATGTACACACCCGCAGGGTTCTGTTTTTTTTAAATTTTTTTTATGGAATGTTTCTTGTTGAATGCTTTTAAAGGTTGTCGCTTGGGCAACGGACAGAGTATGCGTAATGGAGAAACATGGAACAAGGATAAGTGTACCACATGTCGCTGTGAGAATGGTAACTCGGTCTGCTCCTCCACAACATGTGAACAACCCAAGCCAGGATGTAAGGTTGTCAGCCTCGTCAATCAGTGCTGCCCTCGCATCACATGCCCAGCTGAAGGTAATCTACCATTTTACTGTTGTTAAAAAAAAATATAATGGACCTTCCCAGAGTGTCAATCAAACTGACCAATCAGAACAATGCCAGTACCCATGTCCTGTGGAATATATTTTAATCACTATAACATACTCCAAGTATCGAAATGCACACCATCGCGTCGGGATTCAATATTTTGACACCAATTATGTCATCATCAGGAATAGTGATTATAGTAGCTAAGCTGCACTATGTTGTATAAGTCCCTAACAGGAGTACACAGGTACAGTAACAATAGATGAAACATTGTAGAATGTGAAAAAAAAAAGAAAAACCGAATATATTTGTTTACTCCACAGGATCCAGTACATCTGCTGCCACCACAGTCGGTGAGCAGCCGTGCTATGCCCATCAGAAGACGGTGCCATCAATCAACTTCATGGGATTCTCCATTCCAATCACTGGCCACTTCTACCCATCGTGCACGTCTAATGGTTTCTATGAAGGTAAACAGTGCCACACCTCTACTGGGTTCTGCTGGTGCGCTGATCCATTTGGGGTGGAGATACCTAACACAAGAACTCAACATGGAGGCTTGGTCTGTGGTGAGTGAACATATTTTCTTTCGATTCATTATTTTTCAGATGGAGCACAGCATTCGTACCATAATGCGATGAAAATTTAACTCTATAACTCTCACCATTTAAAAAACATTTATCTTATTTCATGGTCTGTAGAACAATCCACTTGCGTTGATCACCTTGGCAAACAACGTATCCACGGAGATCAATGGAAACCAGACACATGTACCACATGTACCTGCGAATCTGGTCAGAATGCTTGTATGCCGGTTGAATGCCCCGTTGTTCCTCAAGGATGTGTCATCACCTCTACAGCAGGTTGCTGCCCAGAATTCACTTGTGGAGATGGTAGGTTTACAAAAATAGTTTTATTATTTTAATAGATTTATTTTGGGTGTTTAGTAATTTACCTCTCAAAAATAATGGAATCATCAGTCACACTAAGTGCAACTCATTCAAATAAATAAAGGAAATAATTATTACTATGTGTATATATATGTATCCATAGGCTGCACAGTAAATGGAATTCACTACGGTGTCGGAAGATACTGGAATGCTGACAACTGCCAGAGGTGTACCTGCCAGACCGGTGGTCAGCAACAGTGTGTCTCCCGTAGCTGCCAGGTGTTCAGTGACCCTATCCCGGTTGGTTGCCAAGCAGTCTGGACTGATGATATCTGCTGCCCTCGCTCTATTGTATGCAATGGAGGTAAAGTAGAAAATTTCCTTCTTTAGCTGAGAGTAGAAACTCTCAAAGCATGGCTTATAAGCCCCATGTCCATTGGCTCCTATCACAGTTAATTACTGTTGTACATAATGAAAATAATTATAAGATTGATTGTAATATTTTTTGTGGAGTAAATATTATTTAATTTGCATATCTCTCTTGTACAGAATGCCCCGCTGATAAGCCAAGGTCAACATGCATCGTAAACCCATGTGATACAACACAATGTCCACTGAACCCCAACGCTGTTTGTCGCCCCCATTACTGTGGAGGATGTAATGCTGTCTTCTACAATGTAAACAATGTTCCCGTAAAGTGTACAAGTAAGAAATGGTTGTATTATAAATATATCAATTTATTTTCATACAATTAAATGTAAATTAGATCTTAGAAATCCATATAAAATAACTTGGTAAAGCTCTTTCATAGTGTATCAAGATGTATTTGTGCCATTACTTAACCAGATTTAAACAAATTATTTTCCAAATGCTTACACATGCAAAAAATGATATATATTAATCCAAGAACATTTACTGAAGGAGCATCTTTGTTGTATATTTAGATTGTTTGTCAGCCACCGGCAGAATGTACCTTCCTGGTGAGGATTGGGTGGAAGGAAGTTGCCGACTGTGTGCCTGTGACATGGCCGGAAGATCCGTATGCTCCAACATATGCCAACTGCCATCTACTGCTGCCAGTAAGTTTATCATTTTAATACATCTACATGTATAGATACTGCTATGTTCAGAAAATATTCAGACGATAGGAAATGTATAGAGTATACTACACATAATCTAAATATAAAATAAATATTTTGAAAACCCCTTTACCACTGGTTTAATGGAACAGTTACTTTCAGTACATTAATACTTTGTCTCTTTATTTTGGTCTGCATAGTGATAGAATATATTTTTGTCCACATATTTTTATAACATAGGCCACTTGCCAGTTTGTCATCTAATTCTGCAGCTTATGTTAATATTGAGCTAGGATAAACATTAGGCAAACATTAAGCAAGATACTAATACAATTAACTGCAATATGCTGCCCTCGTGTGGCAGTAAAGTCCTAACAAGTCCCACCATCACTGATTAACATGCTTTTTCTCCAGATCTGAGATATTAATCCCTACCAGTTATTAAAATATTTCTTATAATTTGATTTTCTTTCTTAGATTCCCAAACTTGTGTGGATACTTCAGGCCAAGTGTACTTTGCTGGACAAAAATGGAACAACACCCAGTGCCAGACCTGCACATGTGAGGCCAATGGACAAATCACATGTCAGGCCAGGTGCTCATACTCACTCACTGACCCTCTACCAACTGGCTGTAGCTTCATCTGGACAGACGACAAGTGCTGTCCAGCACAGACAGTTTGTAATGGACGTAAGTATAGCCTATATTAAGTTCTACTTATGTGTCCAATTGATTGTGAAATCAGTCATATCATCGTCATTTTTATCCGATCATCATCATCATATCATCATCATAACCATCACTGTCAGTATCCTTCATCATTATCATTATAATCATCTATTATCATCATTATTGCCATCATTATTGTTATTGTTGTATTTATTATAGTTACTATTACTATTATTAATGTTACACAATTGAGCTGTATTTTGAGTATTATTAATGTTATTTTTATTAATAATCACTACTGTATTTGTATACTTTGCCTAACTCGAATAATTTCTAAGTCGATTATTTACATGCCATATTGTTGTGTGTTCCATTGGTCAGTAAGTCAAATTTTAACTAAGTCAAACAATTTTTCAATGCCATTTTGAATTTGACTTAAGCAAGTTCAGTGTATTAATATTTGATTGGAATACTCACTGTTATGGATCATATCATCTCTATATGTACAGAGATAGCTGTAGCTTCAGATGATTTGATGACATGTTTGTTTATATGCAGGTTGTCCAGCTGGTATTGAAACCACCCCATGCTTTATGAATCCATGCCGCTCTGCCCGCTGTCCACTGAACCGTGCTGCCCGATGCCGAAGTAACTACTGTGGTGGATGTAATGCAGTGTTTGTAAATGAAGAAAACGTTCCTGTTAAGTGTACCGGTATATACATGTTGTCATTACTAATTATGATTATTATTTCTTTATAATATATTAACAAAATTGGTATTATAAGTAGGCGAATGATGGTAGACATGCCAAAATAGGTACAAATAAGTTCAAATGTTTAGTAGATTTTTTCAGTATAGTTTAACTCCCATTTAGAATTATTTGTAGAGCTTTGCAGAAATCGTAATATGCAATCAGTATTTTTTTTCTTTCATTCCTTTTTGAGTTTCCATCTTTTTTTAATGTTTTTTGTTTTTTTTTCTCTCTTTTTATAAGAATGTGTATCCAGCTGGGGTAGAGAGTACACCAGTGGAAGTATGTGGATTGAAGATGGCTGTACAGAATGTCTTTGCAGCAGAGATGGAACTAAGACTTGCCGTGCCATTCAGTGTCCAACTACCACTGACCCCATTCCAAATGGTTGTCGTCTGGTGCCCTGTACCAACGGCTGCTGTAACCTCAAGGTTTCATGCGGTATGTGATTCCTAGTTATCTCTAAAATATTCAAAACTTGCCTATTTTGTTCTTGTTAGGTTTTCCATTTATTTCACTTTTGTTTTCTACCCTAACGCATAGGGACCATGTAGTATACGCTTTATAAATGCCTAACTATTACCCATAAAATACTGTAGTCTTAATTATTCTTCAAAAAACATTTTAGGATTATTTTTCATATTTCTTATGTAATGTAATTACTGTAGATTTGATATAGCACATAAATATTAAAACAAAAAATGCTCAATATCATCCATTTAGTTTTACTACTACATTTTGCCCATCTTTATTTTAATCTATCCCTTATTATTTTTAGTCAACAATATTCTTATGTTTTTCATCTGAATCTTCATTAATAATATTAATTATACATTTATTGAGTTCAGATTGTAAATATAAAAATAAAAATATTTAAAAAATAAAATATTCCTTAATATTTCAACATATGTTTTTTAATGTTCTTTTTTCTTATAGATTGTGAAGTAAGCACCGCTAATGTAAGAAGATGTGACGCATGTGCGACAGCCACCTGTCAATCTCATCCAAATGCTGTTTGTCGCACGAACACTTGTAATGGATGCAATGCTGTCTTCTATGACGAGTTCAACAAACCTGTCCATTGTCAATGTAAGATTCTTCAAATGTTTACTTCCTTCAATTATATCATTCAATAAGCTCGGTCATCTGGCCTTTAACAAAGTAAGTAAAGCAGCTTGATCCAGCAGACTCCCATGACCCATAGGAGACTTGGGAACCCCTTCTCTTTTCTTCCATTTACAATCATAAGAGGGAAGACACAAAAAAGCAGATTCTCTTCTGTGTTCCAAAAACCGAAAGAAAGATTTATTACATTAATTATGTCATCATCAGGTGATGACATAATTAATGTCGAAATATTGAATCCCAACACGGTGGTGTGTATTTCAATACTTGGAGTATGAATTATACTTTCTCTTCTGTGTTTTTGCCTTTGTTTTTTTGGCCTTTGTTTTATCTCTGTTTGTGAAGACATATCATTCACCATAATAAATTGATTGATTAATTGGTTGATTGATTAATTGATTGATTGATATTCATTAACAATTTGAGATTGTGTACAATCTGTTATTATTATCATTAATTTTAACCATTCTGCTAACAATGTATTCGGTAGTCATTGACATAAATTGGTTACGTTGACACATTTGCAAACGAGACTGTAGGACTAATAATGTTAAATAGTATTATTTACGCCTATATTGATGTGGAGAAATAAGTAAATAAATAAGAATCAGGGTACTTTTCTATGCTACATAATAGAAGGGAAAATCCCATTACATCATTCAATGTTTCTTTGACCACTTCAGATCTGTCTCCTCTTCATAACTGCCCTGCTGGGTTAGCTCATATGGAATGTTTTGTAAACCCTTGTGCTAATGCTCAGTGCCTGGCTCATCCAGATGCCCTCTGTCGACCCAACTACTGCGGCACTTGCCATCCAGAGTTCTTTGATGCCAACAAACAATTAGTGAATTGCGAACTCCGTAAGTAGTGTCTGTACGATAACCTTAATGTTTGTGTTTTGAATTTATTATTTAGAAGTATATTTCATGACATCTACTGTATTAACTGATATGGATGCCAAGTTTACACCTTTGGAAATAATAGAATTGTCTGCCTTATTGTTCATATAGGTAAAAATCACCACCATGAAATTATGTTGATGGCAGGGTAGTGATGGTGGTATGGGTGGTGATGATGGTTATGAGTTGACGATGGCGATGTAGGGGGTGAAGTGACTCAGTTTCAGTTTATTATTTCAAACAATGAATAGAATATGAGGACATGACATATGATAAGTTCAATAGAATAGCATTGTACAAAAATTAAAAATAACACTACAGTAATATGAATTAGAATATAAAACTTCACGATAAACATAGAAATATAAAAAGCGAAAATCATTGTTGTAGGTTTTGTTGTCTATTTTGTGAATGCTTACCTGGATGAACCGATATAAGCCAGATTCTTATTGAAACTTACGCAAAAAATAATGAAATCGTCTAACCCAGGCGTATATGTTACGTAACCAGCCTCAAATTTTCTTTTTGCCGTGAGCGAGTGAAGAGGGCCTTACCTTGTGAAAGAGAACAATAAGCCATGTGCATTCGTTGTTGTTTTAGCCTTGTGTAGCAGGATGTCATCCCAGAAGTCTTCTTGCTCTGTTTGTGGTGGGCTTATGGTACAACATCACCAACCAAATTAAATAAATAAATTAAAAGTAGAGTACAACGAAAATTATTTTTGTTGGTTTTGTTTTTTATTATATTGTTTCAGTTTTTCTTATTGTTTTTATTATTTTACAGAGCCTGAGTGCGCACGTTCCTGTATGTCCAATCCATGTGATACTGCTTCATGCTCAGACCATCCAACCGCCATTTGCAGACCAAATTATTGCGGAGGATGCGTCGCTGAATTCTTCGATGAAAACAATCGCCAGGTTACATGCGCAGGTCGGTCAAATATCATTTGTTTGAAAAATTACTAAACCGAATGCTCAAGTTAAACAATCTTACCCGGCTATTTAGATTTGCATTATTCATAATTATTCTTATAATAATTGTAATTCTGTAATTCACTATTATGTACCCTTATAGGAGTTCATAATAAACAAAGAATAAACATGAAATAAACAAGATACTAAAACAGTACAATGATATATTGTTATGTTTGTTACCTAGTAAAGGTCTACAATGTACTGTGTAGCTTTTAAATTCAATATTGTGAATTGATTATATTGTGAATTTTAAGTAAACTTCTTTATTAACCTTGAGTTAAAAATTAAAATAAAAAAATATTTATCTCACTAATTAACAAATACAGTACTGTACCTGCTTAATTGCTCTGTGTCTCAATGTATGACTTATAAATATAATGTTATACTTGTCTAGATTGCCCACCATCCAAACCAAAACACTGGTGCTTCTTTAACCCATGCGAAGGAGCTACCTGTTCCAACTATCCAGACGCGCTTTGCCGACCCAATTCCTGCGGTGGTTGCCATGCCGAGTTCTACAATATTAACAATCAAATAGTTGAATGTGCCATTGCTCCAGTTCAACAAATAATGATGACTACATCAATGCCATCCCAAGGTATCTATCAGAATATTATGATCATTATTAACATTATTATTAAAAATTCAAATCAATTTCTTTTAATTCTGAACTTTGAATTTGTTTTAAGAAATATGCAATACAGAAATAAAATGTTACTACGTGAATCCAAGCAGAACACACCACAAGCTTTTGTTCATACACTGCACTTTTAGTTAATGATAATTGAAGGGGTGCAACCAGCAATCCTTATCAAACAAAAGGCAACAGAACAAAAGAGCATGTTGGTATTACAATTAGACAATGGGAGAAGCATCTGGAAGGGATGATAACAAGATTGTTAATTAGAATCATTCTTTTAATGGACAAGAAAGCCACGATCATTGTTGAAGCCCTATCTTTATATTATAAGATGACCCACGTAGCTCTGCCCCATGAGTATTTTATTTAAAATGGATATGAGTGCTATAAAAGTATTTATTATTTTAATACCAACAGTTCTACATCTGAAAAAGATCCTCTGAAATACAAAATACAAGAAACTTAATAAGACAAAAATAGGCCCTCCAATCAGAGACCACCTTTGGGACCTGAAAAGTTGAAGTGATCTCTGGGTTTGGTCTTCAATTAGAGAGTTTGCTTTGTGTCAAAAGGTTATTTGGTTCTTTTAAAAAATGGCCTCGAATTAGAGGGGTCTCAAATTGGAGGGTGCACTGTGTACAGATAGTTCACCACAATACTTAATTAAAGTGCTGAAGCATAAAATTTGTTAAAGGTCAGTATTTTCTGCCCACATTTTTTTATTTAAACTATTCTAAACTTCACCCTTAAACTCCTTCCCTTTTACTACTAAATTATTATCATAATTTTATGTTATTTTATTTGATTTGTCAGTCAGTGGAAATCCTTGTGACCCAATGGCTGTTAAGTATTTGACCGATCCGATAGTGACCAGCTTCAACCCACGGTGTACATCAGATGGCTATTTCTCACCAAAGCAGTGTGACGGTCAAGGAGCTTGCTGGTGTACAGATCCAACTGGTCAGCAGGTCACAAGATACACCAACAGCCGCGCACAGGCCCTCAACTTGGAGTGTGCTCAAAGTAGGTTATATTCAAAGGTGGTGAGACAACCTATTTCTTATATACCACTGGTAGGCAAAGTGCGGCCCACTGACCCGAAAAACCCTATTTATGCAGCCCGCCAACCATTTTTGTCTAGAAATCCCTTTGTTTTTACGGCCAGACATCGACCATCAAGTAATGTTAGAACTGAATTGTGGTATAATTATGTAAAAGAAACTAAAATTCTTGGTATTTGGCTTCAAGACAACCTGGGATGAGATTGTCATGTTGATGCTATGATTAGAAATGTCAATAAGAAAATGTAATTAAATCATTAAAGAAATCAAGGTTTAATTTAAAGGAACTTACAACAATTTACTGTGATTACAATAGACAAGTATTTGAGAATGCCGATATCATTTGGCCAGCAGACTCTGGCTTAGAAAATGAATTTTTTGCCTGACAGATTTCAATATGGGGCCTGACGGCTGGGCCCTGGCCCACCATCTGTGTCTCACCACTGACGAAAATGTATTTCAACATGGGGCTATACACATGAAAATATTTTTATACAGTATTCATGCATGGAAAAAGACAAACATTTGAGGTTATCATCATGATTATCATCATCCTCACTAATATGTTTATGATTACAGGACCATGTCACCAAGCCCTTCTCGAAGCTCAAACTAATCTGAATCTTGGTGTGTCAGCCACATGGATTCCAGACTGTGATTCTGACGGTTCCTTTGAGGAAGAGCAGTGTAATGATGTTGAATGCTGGTGTGTTGAGCCAGATGGTGCTAAGATTCCATACTCAATGAAAGTGATTGGCCTAGAACTGAACTGTGGTGAGTATTTATTGGTTAATGATACGCAGCCTCATTACTGTATATAAGCGACAATCACATAATATTGATGTCTGAAAATGATATCCTAAATTTTTCTATTTGGACAAGACTTATTAAGACTTGGAATCAGCTACCAAAAATGTTGTTTGTTTGTTGCTGTTCTGGTTCTGTCAGATATAAAGTACTACGATATTGTTTCAGAATTGATGAGAATGATGATGATGATGACAACGACAATGATGAATAGAGGAGATGATAAGAATGATAAGAAAATGAAAACAAAAATAAAAAGAATGCTAAAAATAGTGATTAGAATGATGATAAAAATTATAAAAGGAATGACATAACAATAATATAGAGATGTATATATACCATTTTTACCTAGAGATGTAATGTAGTTATTGCTGATAAATTAATGCTGTACCTTGAAACAAAATATAAAATTCTAAATTTACTTTTAAAGAAAACGAAAGAGATGTTTTATGGAGTAGTTTGTGTTTCACTTGTTTTCTTCAATTTCTCTGACAGATGATATTTGTTTTGGTCAACTGCCGTCGTCCAGTGCATTCTGTACTATGAACGACATGTGTGATGCCAGTAGCTTCTGCCACAAACTAGAAGGCAAACGCCAAGGACGGTGCTGTAAAATCCCTAGAAGTGAGTCATCATTTACCTTGTACATACACATACTTTTTATATAAAGTATCTCTCGAGAGATTCTGTCTTGTTCACGAAGAGGGCGTATCACAATGATCCCAGGGGTCCCAAGTCTCCTGCAAGTCGCGGAGTCTCTGGGAATCGGGTCGGCAAAATAAAAGTAAATGTGTTGAGAAAGCTCATTTAACCAGATCACCTGGAGGGACATCTTGCAACTGAGGACCCTGATGATCTCAGTTTCACATTAGTGCATTGAATACTAGTGAAATCTGCATACTGTAGAGTGTAAAATCAATTGCTTCCAATTGGATTCAACAAAAGCACTAGTGGCCCAGTTGGTTAGGTGTCTGCTCCTTCGGACCTCATGGCAACTTGATTTTTAATTTTAACATGTTAACTCGGTGTTTATTGTTAACATTTGATTTTTATAGAAGATATGACAATATAATTTTTATTTAATGTTATTATGACATTATTTTTTATAGTTTTCAATATTTATCTATGCTATTGATGTTATACTATTGATGTTATATTTTAGAATAAGAATTTAACATTTATTCTAATCTTTTTCTCTTTACAGATTGAAAGAAGAATAATGCTACGTCTGGCTAAATCTTGCAAAATTGTTACAGTTAGATTCACACCGTGAATATAGAACACCAGAAGATATACTTAGATGTTTTTGTTAATAAATTTTGTTTAAAATAAATGTAGACTATAGATAGAAGAGATAGTAGAATGAGTCTGTTTCACTTCCATTTTAAATTACAATATTCGATTGTTATAAAACCTATTGTGTGTATGTCGTGGAGACTGGTATAGCGCCACCTATGGCTCTGACTGCACGATTTGGTTGACGTTTTATGTCAAAATTAGGCAATCTGATTTTGTCGATCTAAAGCGGAATGTGTTGTTGAAAATATCTGCAGGATTAATAAATAAACGAAAGTCAAGGATTGTGTTTGTTTTTATTTTGTTATTTTAACCTGAGTAATTCAATCATAGAGCTAATAAATGGTTCTATACCTCTGAACACTTTAATGTATAGTACAGATTAATTTATAAACAGTTTCTGAGCTAGTGTGCAGGGGCTGGTTTAGGGAGAGGGGAGGATAGGCACATTCCCCGGTTTTACTACTTTCGTCACTAATTTTTTAACAGCAAAAGATACAAAGTGGAATACCAATACTATATTATTATGTTACAATATATCGTAATAGCATAAATAAACTTAACACGAATAATACCATGTTATGTCGATTTCTGTATAATTACATTGCATCTAGGCCTATATATGAAATGGGGGGCCTCCTCGTTTAAAAAAATATTTGGATCCACCCTGGAGGGTCCAGGGGCAGGCCCCATTAACAAAACCTGTTCCCCTCAAAATAACTATTTCCATGGTGAGGCTGAGGGGTTGTGCATCCCTAGTCAATGATCCTGAACATTTTTGACTGGAAATCTCTGGTGCCACCACAATTTATAAGGCGAAATACGTTTTCCACCGAGTCCTTTCTTCAGTCAATTCAGTTGCTTCGTAACAAGCCATCAAAGCTATCATTCACCAATCATACATTAACGATCAATACAAAAAGGTATATGGTGCCATAATATAAATCAAATGCATTAATAGTTTACTAATTAATAGCTATCTATGATAGATATTTATCAAAGCTCAAATAATTCTGTCTGGCATCTAGTATTGTTTTTATTATTGGTTTACTCTCAGATAGAGTATTTGTTACAATAAATGGAGTGAAGGAATACTATAGTTTATTGAGGTTGAAATTGAGGGATGGAGGTGGGAGTTGGAATTGAATGGGATGAATTCCATCTTTTGTAACAGTTCAGTAACGAATCTTAAACCCAGGCCCAGAGGAAATATTTTTTTTCTTATTTTTTTTATTCTTAAAAAAATGATTTTTCCCTATGAATATATATTATAATATAATTATGCTTGTGGTACACACCGTTCTGAAAAGAACTGTTGTTTTGTTGAGAATTAAAATTATCATGTACAGTACTTAGTTATTAATAATATTGAAATATACTAAATACGAACAACTGAGACAAGCAACAAGAGAAGCGTTCAAATTTGGGGAAAATGAACAAAGAGGCATGAAAAGACAAAAAATACAATAAAAAAAATATTGCACAACAGACCAAGCAAAGGGACAACAAAAGTTACTGATAATTATTGAAAAATTGTTTTTTTTAATTGTACAGTACTACAAAAGAATTAACTGATTGAACAGATAGCAAGTACAATTAAATTGCTAAATATAAGATTGTAAGGGGAAATTAATTTATACAGCAGTAGTAGGCCTATATAAGAATGATATACTAGATTATGTAATTCTTATAGTATGATATATTGTACATCTGATTTTTCTAAGACAAAAACATGATGCGTTTAATGAGATATATTTCAGAATTGGGGGGGGGGGTGAAAGAGGGTGGATACTACTCCGCGAAGTCAGTCAGTCTTCCCTAGTATTACTCATTATACCAAAGTCTTATTTTGCGCTTAGTGGAAAGTAACTTAACAAAGAGACTGCCAGCATCAGTAAATTTGTGAGCACTACTTTAGTTTATTTGATACATAACTGTTAATCGTCGACGAAACAAACAATAACGGTAGGCATAATTAGGCATAAAAACCGTGTTAAAGCCGGTACCAGTTTATAAATGAACAGGCATTCGTTAGGGTTTTCTAGTAGATATCAGTGACGTATCAAAGGGAGTGCTCACTATGAGCACAGTACTATACTAAACAAACGGAAATCATAATTCAAGACATGGCGCAATTCATTCTGTCATGGATATTTGTGCTGTACAAATGTTGACTGATTGATATTAATACAGTACTGCGGTGTATGATGCAACGCAGTAGACTAGATTTATCGGTACACAATATGGTCAGACCATCCAGAAAACAATTATAAATCGTATATGTTAGAAATCGTTGTTACGATCGGATTAGACCACGTGTGCCATCCTCCGGTCATC